TTCCTTGAACTTGTTCCATGACAGAAGAACCACTTCTTGGTGAGAAGCATGAGGATATCTGAACACGGGCATGTTCAGGACTTCTCATCAACTGAGAAGGTGTGTCTTTCTTCTGTGTTCCTCCACTGCTCAGGAATCAGAAGCCCCTGGAAGTCAATGCCTGGTCAAGGTAATCAACTTCAAAATTTTGATATGGACAAGCCTCGCTGCCTGTAGATGGGAAATTTGAATTCTCGTAAAGTGTGTGTCAAAACCAGTTTTATTTCTTATCTAAATATTTTCCCATATTTTTTATAGTCTTATCTGCACTACATACTGCAGTAATTTATACCAGATCAGTATTTTTGAATCAGCAACTTGAGTTCCACCAACTGAAGCCTAACTCTTCACATCTGTATCATCAAACACATTTAGATACAAAATATCCAATTTTTTTTTTTGGTCACTATTGTTAACCTGCCTGTTAGATTTTGATAGTGTGGCTATAAAGATCATTGCAGATAAGGCAAAGGCACCATTAGACAAGATACAAGCAACATCATTTTAACAGATGAAATGTGTCAGACAATAGCACAAATTGTCCAGTGAACATGGTGCATAATGTGGACGGAAAAATATACTCATTCTGACCAAGGCTCCTCAATGTGAAGCATGATAATACTTAACAGATTTCAACTTACGTTCTTTCATGCTTTGTTTATAGTTTAATTAGCTCAGTGCTTAGTTTGGATCATTCATGCTCAACTGAATTTCCATATTAAGAATTTGAATATATTCTTGAAGAGTTGAGGAATACAGAACCTAAACCTGGTATATTGCCCTTTGATTAGAAATTATAAGAAGAAATAAATTTTGGAATGTTTTTCACTTAGAAAGAATAATTGACTTCCTTAAAGTGGATTATGTAAGTGAACTAACAACATCAACAAATTTAGCAAGAAATCTAGAACATTGGTAAAGTATTTTGTTGCTTATTAGGAGAGAAGAAGGTAAATGAAAAGCCCTCGCTTTGGTTTCAAAATATAGCCATTTTAGTTTTTATGTATGAGACATTAAGCTCATAAACGGTTAGCATTTGAAATTGTATTAATTTTTCTCCCGCCACATACATTGTATGAGAACTTCTGGAATTAGGAAAATCACTATTACTCTGAGTTATGAGTTTCCAGAACTGTTTTACTGGACACATCTGTCAGTTTGAATAGGAAGTTCATTTCTAAAACACAGGATAAACCAGGAAAGGCATTAAGTGGGCATAGGCTTGGGTTGGAAGAGGATAATAAGACCCTTACCATGGTTTTCACGATTATTTTAGAAATAATTGTGAGTGCCAAGGACATTGGAGATCTCCACATCGACATGGAGGCACCAAAAATCTCTCTCAAAACAGTATAGATGTGATTTTTTGATTATTCACTTCTTGTTAATCAGGAGTTTTCATCGCACAAATAGTTCACTTTTGTAAAGCAGTCACTTCAAACATTAGACTTTATTTACAATGATAATTTTCATATCTTTATTACTTAGAAAATAATTTATATTTTTCCATCATTTAAACAAATAAGAGGCCTGAGTCTCATGCCTTTTTGCACAGCTTTTACCTTCAAAGAAAATTCTCTGGGAAAGTGACAAGGAGACAAGGAAATGAAGAGACAAGGGACAGGAGGAAATCGCAATACATACATGAAGACAGTCTGTATGACATGCGATCCCTATTTGTTAATTTTACCAGGATTGCAATGGCTGGGATTTGTTCTGAAAGTCCATCGAACTGGAACACAGAATGGGTGTTCTGTTTCTAGAAAGTGGACACTTTCTCATACATAATATGAGGAAATTCCTTCACTTTTTGGATGAATACCTACATAGATATATCCTGTACAGAGCTACCTGTCTTTACCTTTCTACTGAGAGAAAAACCAGGTCTTACAAAAATACCAAAAAAAAAAAAAAAAAAAAAAAAAACCCACACAAAACACAGACTTATAATTTAGGAAAAACAGCCTAAGTGGAGTTTTCACTGAGGAAACTATATGCTGAAGGCTAACTTAGGTAAATGGAAAGACCTTCTGTGGCACACTGGGAAGGACATGAGCGGCCCTCCAGGCAAACCTGGTCTTTTCCTAACAAACATCAACCTCTAGCATCAAGGGGGCCAGTTCCAATTTTTTCTACTGTTGGTTTTATGGTTGTCTATATAATTACCCTTTCCCCTCAGTGGGCTAGAAACGTCTTCATTTGAAAGACCTGAGTTTATCTAATGGCACCTATAAATAGGCTCATATAAAAATGTAGTAAGTTGTAACACGTAACACTGGCACCACAGGAAGTAAGCTCCAGAGTTGGATGTGAACACAGTAATATTGCTGTCACCAAGGAAGGGGAGAACATCACTGGCAGAAAATCATTACATCCCCAGGAACCCTGGGTGTCCTGGGTGTGTATGAATGTCACATGCATGACCAACCTCCATTCTTCTACTTCAGCTGACTTAAAATATACTAGAAATTTATTTTTGAGATAAAAATTGCCAATCTGTCTGATGAATACTGGTGAATACATTTCTGGAAGGAAGAGTTTCTAATTGCTTGGGTCACCGTTATTTCATGTCCCTGAAGCCAAAACAAAACCCAGGGAGGTAGCTAAGACCTCTACCCCTGCAGCCAGGCTGGGCCTACCAAGGCCCTGAGCTCCAAGAGGCTGCCAGTAAAACATGGTCATGGACTCAACCTCTGGGCTGCCATTCTGTTTGCCCCACCCCTACATTTCCCCTCCACTTGCATGGGTTTTAGAAATGTGTGGCATGAGGAGAAGGGGAAAAGATTCATTTAGGTAGATAATCAGATATAAGAGGTATGCAAATATAAATGTTTTGCTTCTCTTGTTTGCAAGAGAACAGTTAAATTCACTGGGGAAATGTACTTGACTCACAGTAATTTTTGCAAACGTTGAGACACACAGGCAATGTTAAGAAAATGGGAAACAACTCAGTATGTCCTAAATAATGCAGACCTGGTGTTAACTCAGAAAAATAATTATTTAGAGAGGGTATATTCATTTGGTCCTTTCTTGTATTTTCCTACTTACTGGGCAGTTTGCCATGAAACCATGCTTAATTTTTACTGTATTATTTTTGCCTTTTTAAACAAATGTCATGGATTACTATAAAATCATTGCTTTGGAAGGGAAGAATATCTATTTAGAATAAATAAAGGCATTTTTAATGTAAACAATCTTTTCCATGACTTCAGAGAAATAAGAAGTACGAATCACAATGTATGTTTACTTAGACACTAAGATTGTTCAGTTGAACAGGTCTGTATATGGTACTGAAGGAAGAGTTATAGACAAAAGGTAGTGGGGGAGAACAGGGACACTAATTGTAAAAATTCGACATCGGCTAAGAAAGTCTTTCACTTGAGGGAACTAGACCCAAAAGTTAGCAAAAGTTACTAGTGAAAAAACATTCTTTGCAGCATCTCCATTGAATTAGCATAAAATAGCTATCAGATTATCATTTAAATTAGAATAGGCAGATGAGCGGCTGTCCACAGATCTCCATGCACCTGGATCTGCACTCTCTCACTGGGCTTGGAGATTGCTACAATGTATAAAAATGGTGATTAAAATATAACTTTATAAAAATGCTTCCCTTTCCCCCTTTAAAAAAAAGTTTACTATCTACAGAAACCAAAAAAAAAAAAACTTTATATTTACATCAAGATAACTATTCATGACAAATATAATAATATGAAATAAAATATTGAAAGTGAGTATCAACTTTTTAAATAGAGGTTTGGCTCATAGCATAAACAAGTGTAGATAAACAAACCAAAAAAAAAAAAAAAAAGACTTTCTATAATAGACCCAGTTTCCCAACCCCACTAAAATCTCTGTTACCAAAACAAGCATTGACATCTGGCCACACTGGAAATGGACACGGCCCGTCTCCCCAGCAGGCCCAACCACAGTAGGGTGCTCGTGGGCTGCGCCAGCCCAGACCAAACTGCCACCGTGACCAAGCATCAGGCTTTCACTATGGCAACACACACCAAACTCGAGGCTGAAACTGTCCCCTGCATCTCTAGCTAGATATTCCAGGGGGTTTCTGGTTGCCTTTAATTTTCTGTTGCACAATTTCAGAAGACATGGAGATCATGGTTAAGAGCAATTTTCCAGGTCTTCTCTGAGAACCTTTAAAACTTCTAATCTAGTTAAAAGACCTGGTTCCAGCTCCTTCCTAGGTGTTTTTTATATAAAGAATGCCATCCTCTTAAATGGTGATTTGATCTTAGGTGAGTGACAGACATACTGGAAAACAGCTCCTATACATTCACTAGGCAAATAGTTTGTAAAACGCCTCAGTCTTCCAAGTTTGAGGCTGGTGATAGAGCGCCTCCAAGTGGTGCAAAGCAGTAGTACCAATCACATGGCCTCTCCTCAGCTCTGAATACCCGCCTGCCCTCCACAGAGGGACCTTTATTGAAGCTAAGCTGAGGAAGGTATTTGGAATGGCCACCTCTCAGAGACCCCGGAGTGAACTTCCTTCTGTTTGTTCACATGCTGAGACATCTGCTGCAGCTATTCTATGAACCACTAAACCCACAAAACTTCCTTACACACACCCTTTCAATCCTCTCTCTCGCTTGCTCGCTCACACACACACACACATACACACAATGTTGGCAGGTTGAAGAAGAATTCAAATAATGCTCTGGAACTTTTCAGCCCTCACTACTAGGAGCAAAAGTCTCCTTAGCTGTAACCTACATTTGCTGCACTGTTTCTCTGCTAAGCCACACCCTTTCCTCTATGATTTGTTTTCCCTTATGATTTATTATATCACAGTGACCATTATATATCTTAATATGAATGTTATTAAATGTGGAGCCAGTAATCCTGGCTTTCAGTGTGTGTGTGTGTGTGTGTGTGTGTGTGTGTTTTACATGTATCTATGTGAGAGCTTATATACACACACACACACATATATATTTCCTCCTTCAAAAAATCCGTAGAAGCTGGTGTTGCAAAGTGAAAGCTCTCTGAGCAGGGGTTTTGGACAATGTTTCTCACTGTAAAAATAAGCACATAAAATGCAAAGAATCCCAAATGCAATAGCCATTTGCCCATCTCCTCGTATTTCTACAGTGTTGTGTCTAAGTGTCGTGCTGGCTTGAGAAGAGTCTGTGACAAGTCACTGTTTGGAAACACAGCTCTTCCTCCCCAATGTCACTGGTTTGGCTTTGGGGCAGGGAGTTCTTCTCCTCTTGGCTTCCCCTTCTCTTCCTCTTCTTCCCTGATGGCCTGGATCTGTTCTGAGGGGTGCTGTTGGGTGGGCTGGTCCAAGGATGGGGTTTCTGTGCCCGCCAACCTCTGTTCTTCTTCGATGACTTTCTTCCACATTTTGTGATTCTGCAGGAGGTGCTGGGTTATTTGGCAGTAGATTTTTCTCCTTTTGAAAGTTTTCTTTCCTGAGAAAACACCAATTTAGACCACTTATTTGTATATCATAAAAGGACAGTTCTTTCTTTTCACATCATGAAACAGAAGGCAGCTACCTAATGGACACCACTTGATTTGTGTTTTGTAACAATGTCATTTTTGAGATGTAGAAATGAGGGACATGCCAGTAAGAATGATTATATTATCCAGACAAACCTGCACCAGAATTTACTATTTGTAATGTTCACTAGAAGGTTCAGCTGCTATCTCTCTATCATTCCTGTTACACTTAAACTCACAAGACTTTTCACCTAGACTACTTGGAATAACTTCTCTCCTCGTCTTCCTTTACTTCATCAGCCAATCCAACTCACAAAATCTGCAAGATTGATTTCTTTAAAGGTGGTCTTGATGTTACTTTTCTGTTTCATGTAGACTAAAGAATTCCAAACTCCTCTTGTAGTTCTCCCCCAAGCTGGCACACGGTTTGGAGTCTTCCTTTTTTTTTTTTTTTTTTTCCCAACCTGACCTCTGCTATACTAAACTGTTCCTTTTTCCAAACATACATAAAAACTCATCTACTTTCAAGCTGGTACCTCCCCTCCTTCTGGAATGTTCTTCTCAGTGACAGAAAGTTCACGTCTATTTATTACTTTAAGACTCCAGTAGATATAACTAAATTCCTCTTCTAAGAATAATATTTCTCTTCTAAACTCACATTGCTCTGTAATATACTTGTCAGAGTAGACTGTGTTTTCTGTCATTCCCCCCCCCCCCCCAGTAACTACCAGTATATCTAACACCATTCAGGGGGAGCTGGTCAGCGGGCAAGTTCATGGCTCTTGTTAGGCCAATCAATCTTTCCTTGAGAGTTTCCCTGTGGGCAGAATGAGTATGGGGCTGGGGGGCTGGAGCCCTTTTCTCCTCTGCATGTGCACCTGGAAGGAAGGACACACAGAGCTGACTAGAGTTCAGCCTCACGAGGGAAGAAAGGTTGAAAGAACAAGCTGTGAGGCAGGTCTTGAGCGAGAAGAGCAGGATGGTATGGGCATGGATAGGAGTCAACATCATGTTTAAACAAGCCCATCATTTTCGTCTTTGTATATATATGTATGTAAATAGCATTTTGTCGCTTATAACAAGATGTACTGAGTCTTGTTCTCATACATTCTCCGCATTTGTTCCTCTCCTCTTGTAGGCTAGAGGCTCTTTGAGGGAACACTGCAAAGGTTGGTACAGATCTTACAGATGATAGAGCTCAGCAAAAAGGCACTACTGAATGAATTACTTTTTCTTGTGCCCAGTTTACCATGTCAATATGGAGAATTTAATTATAGATTTTACAGAATTGCATCTATCTCTTGATTGAGGAATTGGAACGAACCAATTTTGAAAGAAGAAAGAGGATATTTTAAAGATTCTTTAAGTTGATGTCACAGTTTGATTTTAAGGCACCCAGTTCCTTACCTCGTCAGTACCTCATGGGTACCAAGTGTGCCAGGTTCTAGTTCACTGGGACAAGCTAGACAAATGTTTGCCAGCATGGATGGCGCTTTTACTCTGTGGGGAGGAGTGAACATCATTCTGAGTCCTTCAAAGTCATCGAAAGATGGTGAAAAGACGAGACATGATGCCATGTGAGGACATGCCGAGGTGATGGTGGCTTGGATTAGACTGGGGGTAATGAGATGAGTGTCTGTGCGCTAGGTCTTGACAACTGATTATGTGTAGGGGACAAAGGGGAGGGAAGAACCAAAGACAACCCCAGGCTTTCTGGCCTGAGCAGATGGGTAGGTGGTGGCAGGATGCTGAGAAAGGGAAAAGGAGATGAAGCGCAGTCTGAAGGGAGGTGGGACAGAAGTCCCTGGGAGACCTCCTATGGAAAGCTGGAGTAGGAGGCTGGTCTCAAACTTAGGGGTGTGTTCATTTCCAAGTGACCAGAACATAATGTAATTCTTAGTATCTTCATGTGAATGGCTGTTTGGGCCAAAAATTTAGAAGTTAGGCTAAGATCTGATTACACTATTAATTTCTAAGAACAAATGCTTTTCACTTCCTCTGATTATCTAAAAAACCCTGACTTTAGTAACTATATAGAAGTTTATTAAATGTATCATGTCCTTTCTAGTTTCTGTTCTACCATTCCCAGTAAACAGTGAAAGGTTGACAGTGGTTAGTAATGCTAATGATAGAAATGTTTTCCAGGTCAGGAAATTCTGATCTAATTGAGACTACAATAAAGTCAACAACTGGATTTTACAATGTATAACCTGGAAGAATGGGGAAAAAAAATACAGTAAAAGTAGAAAGAGAGAGGAAGAGAAGAGACAGAGGAAGGGAGGATGGAAGGAAAGAAAGAGGGAGGGAGGGAGTAGAGGGAGAGGGAGCCAATTGACTCAGATGTGCTAGAGGAAGTAGAGTTCATGGAGGCCATCCTTCAGAGTTTTTGTGCAAGTGCTAGTGATTTCTTTAACAGTTTTAGTAAAATAACCTGCAGAGATTTCTGGCAATTTACCAGACAATAAAATCAGTTTTAAAACAGTGCAGAAAAAGGACAGATTAAATTATCCTGAATTAGTTTGAACCCATATCTGACACATAAGTGTTGCATGGACACATACCCAATTATTAAATTGAATGAATAGTGGAAGAATGGACACAGGTAGAGAGGCAAAGCAAAAATATTTTGAAAAGATTTACTGTTCGTTGTTTTATTCATAAGATGGTTCAATCAAATTTCAAATCAAACTACTGACCACCTGCCACATGGCATGCAGTTTTCTGAATGCAGAGGCCAACACAAAAATTAGTGTGAGAGCCTGCCTTAAAGGAGTATCTAGGTTATAGACAAAAAGCCACAAAGGACAAAACCTGGGGTTGATATGTTATGTTTGATGATATATACACTATATGACCAAGACAGCTGTGGTTCCCCTCAGCCTGAAGAAACTTTAGACAGGTTTCTTCCATTCTTGGGAACTCTGACCTCCATTTTCTGAGCATCTATTTTTGAAAGTGTAATTGCACATTTGTCTTTGCCCCTCTGCTGTACAGATAAACTCCCCCCACCCCACTCTAGTCAGTGTAAAAACCCAGGAAAAGCTTTCTCAGGCAGCAGCAAAGTCATCCCGTTAAAACAATCGTTGAGAGAGGTGGGACTTCCATACTTTGTGAGGGTGCGGTGGACTGACTTCGTAAGCACCAATGAGCAAACGGAGGACAGAGACGGGCCTCATCACATGGACCATCTCCCTCAGGTCCTTAGTACCTTATTATTAGCTCACCCTGCTTTTAAACTCTCCTGCTTTTGTTTAAATGGAATTGAATTCAATTTCTCTCCCCTGGAAAAGAATCCTGAGTAAAGGCTTCCTTGCTGTTTTAAACACAATGCCAACATGAAAGGCTCAATCTGTGGCAAAATAGGTAAGATTTTTTTCAAAGGACAGGACTTCTGAGTTGACATGTAAAGGATGAGAATGAAATATGGGTTGGGTCAGGGGCTGGCCATGCCAGCAGAGTGAGGGACAGGTCTTACAGGCACAAGGGAATGGGGTCTGGAATTGCTTCATCTAGATGCTTCTTCACAAGGTCTACAGATATACAAATATAAATGAAAATGTACAGAAATGTGAATTCTTCCCATAAAGTATCATCAAAGTATGTTACTAACATAATGGATTTTTAAAAGTAAGTCTTTAAACCAGTTCTTCTACCAAAGTCCTCTACTTTGTGTATTACTGATTTGTTTTGATGGTAGTTGGGTACACATCAGCTTTCGCTGAGAAAGTTTTTTTTGTTCCACTGAATCCTTTGAATCAAGAGTTAGATGACCATGGGCTGAGGGCAGCTTGAATCACAGTATATGAAACCAACAGTGATTATTGCTCATACACATTCATGGCAGTGCACTCGGAGGGAAGCAGCTTACAAAAGCTCAATTTTTCTCTTTTTCCTTTCAGGGCAGTCCCCATGAGAACAGCTGTTCTCTTTTTAATGCTGTTAAATGTTAGCAATAAACCTCTCTGGAATTAAACTGAATAAGGTGACGTAGAAGAAAGTTTGTACCAAATAAATTTGCGTAGATTAGAGGCTGCAGGTGGGCTGGGACATGCCTGTGTCGGGAGCCAAATTGTTCAGCCCAGGAACCTTTTGAAATGAGAACAAAGAGCCTTTCATTGCTCAAATTCTAAATGCAGCTTAGTACTTCATTAGAAACCTCTTAGTTCACGGTAGGAATCTTTCAGATTTAATTATGAGGTGGGGGAGAAAGCCTTCTTTCCCTAGGATACCATATTGAAACATTTTATTCTGTGTTTCCTGGGAGACCTCCAAGTTTTGCAAATTGCTGAAATTATCAGTGCATATTTAATTTAATTTTTTTCTGAAATCTAAATTTCAGGCTAAGTCAAACAAACCATCTCATCTCAGTCAATATGAATTCTGAAATTAAAATTACTAAGAATCAATAACAGTGAGTTTCAAGTGAGGACACTGGGTTCCCTTTCTGGCCCTGTCTCTGGAGCAGCGGCTGAGTCCTCTGGCCTTGGACTAGTCATGTGTAAGAGGTCAGCTGGGTCAGATGATCACGTGTTAGCTCCGTTTTAAAATTCCACTACCCCATGTAGCCACCATTTATCAATTTCGTGGCTGATAGATTTTTCAGAAGTTAGGGTATCAAGTCACTGTTGACAGATGCCTTAAATTTTAATGAAGGTAGCCAGTTACTTTTCAGAAGCCAGCAGTAAACAGAATCCACACGACTCTCATTGCTGCAATAGTTAGCTTGACAAAAATGGGAAATAGAGCAACACGTTAGAAATCAGTGTGGCAACCCCTGTCTGGAACAGGAAGGAATCCAAATAGTGGAGGTCACGCTTGCTGCTAAAGTCTGGGTTGAGAAGTTGTCTGTTCACATTCTGGTCTGGGTTCCTCAGTTCCTGGAGTCTGGATTATGTCTGTGTTTTGTCAGGACATTTGAATTCAAATAGCAAACAGGGCCCATGGGAACAAAGTTTCTCCAAGGGTAAGTCAAGAACTTGTCCCAGCGTCATTCTGTGGAAAAACTGTCCTGTACTCAGTGAATGACTTAGTGCTCTTTGAGTGAAAATAAAGTAGAAGAAAATTACTGTACGTTTATTAAATGAATAGATGATTAAATAATCATGAATGGCAAGTCTTAGTTCCTATCTGTGAATTCCAATCTCAGCACAAAATCTGTAATCAGCACAAAACTTACGAACATCACAGAAATAAAATAGGGTGACTCTGATAGGAGAATACTGAAGGGAAATGACATCTGATTTCTTCTTCATTCTGTACAAAAGTTAATGCAACGGACAAAACTAACCAACTGAACTGAAGCAAATTTGTAAAACCCTGTCTCATCAGTCTCTAGTCAACAACTTCCTCTTTAATTCTTAAAGGAGGGGAGAGGATCAACTCCTGTGTCTTCAGTAGACAATTCAAATGAGCCCAGACATGCATTTCTCAATTGTGCTAATAAAAACAAGGGAGAGAAAATGATCAGTCTGTCTTTCCTTGGCAACGCTTTTGAAACATATTAAATTTGGTGGTTTTCTGTACCTGTGAAGGTAGACAGGAACCACAGACCTTGCTGACATAAGCAGCAACGGCACTGGTACAATGCCACTATTAGACTTATGAGTCTTACTGCTTGTGCTACTAGTCATTACCCTTTACTTGTGGCAGGAGAGATAGCCAAGAATTTAAAGATGTAGACTATGATCCATTTTTATAGTCAATATAAATGGGCTAGGTCACAATGCTTGCCCAGTCAACAACCAGAAGTGACTGCTTCTCACCGCCACTACTGCCACGATTGGCCTAACGTCCCAGTCATTTCTCACTTGGGTAATTTCAGCAGCCTCTACTTTTCTCTTTGCTTCTATCTTTGCTCTCTTCCAGAACTCTAGAATATTCTCAATGCTCCAGCAAAAATGGTTACAATGCTGGCCCTCCCTAGTGGTGCAGTGGGTTTAGGATCCAGCACTGCAAGCTAAGGCAACTGCTTGAGTGCGAGTTTGATACCCGGCCCTGGAGCTGATCCATATGGCGAGGTAGACCTCTCCTGACCCACCAACTGCTCCCCTCAACAGTACTTCATCAATCTGCCTGTTCTACTCCCCACTCTGTCTCTGGTGAAGCCTTTCACCAACCTTGCACCTCTGGCTTGCACCCCAGTTCTGTATGCATAAATAAATAAATCTTTAAAAATGAAGTGGTTAAATGCAAGACGAATCAATTAACTCTTACATTCAAAAACCCCTGGGAGGGAAAAATGGTGAGGGTCCACTGGGCTGTGGTAGAGGGTTCTGCGTGTGGTATGGAAATGCCATCTGAAGAGGTATGACCCTAGACTCCTAACACATACAATGTTGTAAACCAATGCTACCTCAATTTAAAAAAAAAAATAAAAAAGCAATAATCAGTAGACTGGGAAAGACAGTCTTAAATAAGTTTGAATGTCATATATATATATATATATATATATATATATATACATATATACTCATTAAAATCATAATGTAAAACAACAAACCTCTGTATTTGTTTCACTTCTAAATCACTGTAATACTTGAGAAACAGGCTTCTACCATTATTTTTTAATCTATTGACTATCTTTGTATGAGTATGGTAACATAGTAAATTCTATGGGCTATAAGTTCTATTAAGGTGTTGGAGACAGGTCTGTCCATAATCAAATGCATGTAATTTATAAGAAACATAAACTTTAAACAATCTAAAGAAAAAAACTCTTAAGAGAAATACATTAGAAATAGATTTTATAACTCACTTGGAGAGTCATTATTTTCACAGGTTTCCTCTTCGTTGGATGCTGCTTCTGCCTCCTCCTCTTCGGGGTCATCAGTATCCCCTGACTCATCACTGTCTTCCCCCCATTTCCCTGGCATGAGTCCTGCTGAATCATAGGAGTTGCACAGAGGACCCACAATGTGAGAGATGAAGGATTCCTGAAGATTGGCCAACTGAGGAGCAGAGCGGTCCATGAAAGGACTAATAGGTAACCCAAGGCTGGCTTCCTCATCACCCTAGAAATAGGAATGAGCATGGAGAATTGACTAGGACTGGATGATGAGGGAAGTTTGAAATATAAGTCAATATTCACCTGGCATCTGAATTTGCAAGCATATAAGACACCAGGCACTCACATGTCTTTCCTCTTTACTTGACCAAGAAAAGATCTAGTCAAATCTCTAAGATTCCTACAGAAATACTTCACTGCCAGTGACCAGTCAGTTCTGAGATGGTGAGGTTTTGGCTATTGATCAAGGGGAAATACAGGAATGGCTTGATGTCTTAGTAGATGGTATTTCTTTATTTTATATAAATATATATATATATTATATATATATATTATATATACACACACACATACATATATACACACATATATACATATATATACATATATATACATATATACCTATATACATATACACACATATATACATACATACATACACACACACACACATATTTTTCACATCACTCTTCATTTTGTACATTTTCTTTTTTTTTATCTTGGTTGTAAATCCCGTGGACTTCCCACCACTAATTCATCCAAGTGCCATCACGCTTTTCCCACTCCAACCAGAAAGTAGATGGTATTTCTTATCACATCACTGTAAATGCTACATTGGGAATAATGATCAAATTCATAATCTCCTGTATTTTCCTTTGGCTGCCAAAATATTTAAATCATTTATATTTCAATTAAAGTTGTTATCTTAAATTGTGGTTGAATTATCTCTTTGCTGATGCTTGTATGTTTAGTAGCACTATCGTATAAGTGTTTTTATTTTGAAATGTTTTAATTCATTATGGAAAAAGTATCAGATTGCAAACCAGAAATTATCAAGCAAAAATAATGAAGGAAATATACAAAAATATTAATAAATGGTTATGCCTCTGTTGTAGTAGAATTATAAGTGGATTGTTCTTTTTTTTTCAGAACTGATTATGAATTAATTTCATTTGTAGGAAAGGCAGTATATTATTTTCTAGAAGGCATAAACCCTTTCTTGTGTACACGAGTCCTATTTATGGCACCATTCATAGTTCTTTCTAATCTTTCTTTAAATATGCCCAGGACAGGCAAATTTATTACTTAGGAAGGTACCTCATCCTATTTCTGGGCAACTTTAGTGATACTATTACTATGAGTAAAACTTCTTTCTGACACAGATCTGAAATCTATAATCAGTATAAACTAGTTCTATTTACACCCTTTTTAGGGAAGAAGAGGAATTTACTGTTTTTCATAAATCAGAACTCATATTATGTAAATTATAATTCCTTTAATCTCCACATTATGATAAACCTAACCCTAAATTAGAATGTCCATCTGTCCATCTAAAGATTTAATATCTTTTCTGCCTCATGTCCTGTTCTGTTACTCCTCCATCCCCATCAGTGCTCTCCAAATCCTCCCTTCTAATTTGCTCTCTATTGCTATTTATGGAATCCTGTAATGTGTAGTCTTTAGTGACTGACTTCTTTCACTTAGCATAATGTTTTCAAGGTTATTCATTCTTGTAGCATGTACAATATTTCATTTCTTTTGTAGTGCAATAATTTCCCAATGCATGGATATACTACATTTTGTTGATCTGTTTGATTGTTGATGGCCATTTGAACTGTTTCTACCTTTTGGCTATATGGATAATGCAGCTGTACAAATTTGTGTAGCTTTGGTAAATGTATGAGCAATCAAATATGGATCATGATAAACTATTAAATTATTTACCTGTTCATAAAATTCATTGACAATCCCCTCTGTCCACTGAAGATGGAGCTCTTTGCATTTAGCAGGGCCATTGATATCAGCCAACTTTATACACATCTGACACACTAGTAGGCGATCATTTTCATTGGTCCAATCTATTCCAACATCATCATTCACCTGTGTGAGCAGCAAAGTTAAAGTGTTTTGAAAATAAAAGTTGAACAGTAGAAAAACAAATGATAGTATATATGTTGTCTCATCATGTGGAGATGAGAATACCAAGGAATGAGAACATTTTTTAGGAATAGAAGGTTATTGGCTATGTAAGTTAATAGTAAAATAGATTACTGAAAAAGTAAAATAGGGCCCTCCCTGGTGGCGCAGCAGGTTAAAGCACAGCACTAAGAAGCTAAAGCCACTTCAACATGAGTTCGATCACTGTCCGCCCCGGAGGTGACCCACATGGCGCGGCAGACCTCTCCTGACCCGCCTGCTGCTCCCCTCAGCAGTGTACTTTGTAAGTCGGCCTGTCCTGCTCCCCACTCTGTCTCTGGTGAATCCTCTCACCGCCCCTGCACCTCTGGTCTGTACCCCAGTTCTGTGTGCATAAATAAATAAATCTTTTTTATTTTTAAAAAAAGATAAAATAATGGATGGAAAACAAAATTATTAATTATGGAATAGATAAATACTGTTTAAACCAGCAGAATTTTTGTCATTATTAAAAGAATAGCTACAAATATACATTTTCTTGAGTTAGTATTTGTTTTATGTGTGAAATTTTGCTTCAGGATTTTGACTTTTACTACTGCAGATAACTTTTGTTAGTAGACCATGAAAAGGAGAGCAAATTAGAGAACATACTAAAATGATACTTAGAATGTGATTAGTCTGTGCAGCACAAAGTAAAGTGTTTACAGCCAGCGCCTCAATACTTTTGGCTTCTAGGGCGGGATTGGCTGTCATGTCTGCTTCTGGTTTAATATGTTATTGTATCTCCTTTGCATATTTGACATAGAAGAGGTAATCCAATGCATTTTGTTCTTGCCTGGGGTCCCAAGTCATCTCTCAGTGTGTCTGTAAGTGAGGATTGGCATAAATCGAGTTACCTTGGCATTCAATTTGGCCACGAAGTCAAAGTGTTTCTTCAGGTCCGTGGCCAAAATTGCTTCAATGACAAGGAAACGGAAATGCTTGAATTCCACATGGTCAAGGTTAACTAAAAAGTTATACTCTGGCCTGGACATGAAAAGGTTCCATGCGGCAGCCGCGTGGTGATTCTCTAACACTGAGCGATCATTGTAGAGCACAGCCTGGGCAAAGAAGAGTGAAAAGTTCAACTTTTTAAGGTAAAATAAAGTCCTTAAATATACAATGCTTTCAAATACTTTTTCAGGAATCAGAAATGTAATTTGGTGACAGAAGAATCACTGTTGTTGTATATTGTCACATGTTGATTGCTTTTGGGGGTGTGTGTGAAGTTTCTGTGTAAGATAAAACTGATTTTCTTGAAACTTTTTCTCAAAGTTAGCTATTATAGATTTCTTTGCAGGATACACAATTTGGCCATTATATTATGTAGTATACTAGGATCCTTAAGCTATAACTTAGTTACTTTCTATAACTAGAATAAGAATTAATTCCCCTTAGTTAACATATAACCAATAGAGGAATAGTACGAGAAGCCTATAATTCTAAATCATTCTTGCCCCATCATCAGCCATAGTAAATAATACTTTTTATATAGTAATTGAAAGTAAACAGTAAATACTTGTTTGGATATGCTGAGCGAAGCTACAAAAGCAAAAGTTGTTACCTAAAAAATGCTTCAAGAATAAGCATGGTAAATAGACAGTAGAGGAAAATAGGTATAAAGAAAAAGATTACAGAGAAATTAATATTAAAATGCATCTATGTATAGGAAAATGCATCTATGTGTTGGAAACACTGAATGGTAAATGATAAAAGGATTTGCATATTACTAGGGGTAAGAATTCTGGTATATGAAGGACCTGATTCTTGAATACTAGAGATATCAGTGCTATGGAAGAAAGTGGGACAAAAGACAAAAAGCAAACAAAAAAGTATGGGCCCAGCCTGACCTCTAAGTCTTCTCAAAAAAAGCCCAACAGAATCTAGGGATATTGAGTAACTTGGATCCAGCTGACTGGGTCAAAGATAAGCTCACTGAGTTTAACTGTTTAGTTGGAGAAGCCAAGATATCATTTATTAATTTTTGGCTTTAAATATAAAGTTCTCAATTTCTCTAAAGTTATTCTTTTAGAATACTATGTTTAGGTGAATAAATTCCCTCAAACAAATTTTTTATTTTGACTTCTGCCAATCGTAATTGTTCTAGTGAAAACTTCCAAGGAATGGAATTTCTATACAGAGGAATCTAACAGTCTTAAAAATCCAAGAAAGACTTGGTTCTGTAAGCTTTGCAGAAAAGGACTTTTGTGTAGTGTGAGGTTTTTTTTTTTTTTTTTTTTGGTTGAAGAGGTTCATTAATTCAAGTACTCTTTTTCCCTAAGAAGAAAATTGAGAATATATTCACATGGATTTTAAAGCTGCATACCTGCCATTAATATCTTGGATCAAGCCCTAATCTATTTTCAAAATTAGCATGGTTTCTAAAAGTTGTGTCCTAGGGCTAAATATAGTTTGGCTCCTATTTGCTTGGTGCCTGTTGTAAGTCAAATTTACAAAATTGATTTTCTTCCAAGAAGTCTCTAAATTGAATTATTTCTTCTAATCGAAATGGAAAAATTTACCTGAGGAGCACTAGTTGCAACCAGAAAAGCATTAGTCCTTCCTGGATGGTCATAGTCATGCATGGCCGCAGCCACATACAAGGCCATCAACTCTAAGGCAGGGATATTCCCAGACAGACATCCGTATTTATCATCTGGCACACTGTACATTTTTGAAAACACATAACCCATATGTCCATGTGTAAATCCACTGTCCGAATCTGAGAAGAAAAAAATGAAAGGGACAGAGAAATTTAAAAATGACTCAACTGCCACCATTTGTCTTGATCTCTTTAAAATCAACAACAAAATATTCTTTTGCTCCATGGCCCACAAGGAGCACAGATGCCTTTGATATCTACCTGAATCGCTCGCTGATCCATGGTCGTTAATCACAGTCGAAAGGCCTGGAATAGGTTGTGTCGTAAGATACCAAACAGCATGTAAGACGTCAGTGGCATGGATTCTGTTATGATCTGTGACCAATGCAAAGAACAGGCATTCATTTGTGAACTTCAGGGTGTAAGGACTAAGAGTGCCATCTACTGGATAAACAGTCCTAACTTTTTAATACCTCAGTGAAAGTCAGCCAAACAATCTAGGATAAATACTCTTTTTTATTACTCTTCCCTTGTGTAGTCATAATAACCATAATAACAAGAAAAAAATATAACACAACATTTGTGATGTGTGCAGATGTCTGCGGTGGAAAAATCAGTATGCCAGCTGTACCAGAACATAACATACTCGCTATATGAAATCAACACACATGTTCATTCTTGTAATATTTATATGCTCCTGCATAAGAGTATACAGACCACCAGAATAAAGGACCCAAGACATACTTCAACTGTGTAACTCCTGATAGTGCATCTCTGATAAATAGCATCCAGGTAAAACAAGTGAGCAGAACACAGTACTACTCTTCTGTGTCAAACATAAGACACTGTAATAAACCACATGCACAAATAAATATATGTGCATATTGCATGAGATTATATCTTTAAGACAAAAAATAAAACCAGAATCAACAATGTTCTCTGATGTAGAATTTCTCATTTGGGAACAGAGTTCTAGGAAATACCTAAAGAGAAAAATGAAAACCTCCTCTATAATAATGAAGGGAGCTGCACCCTTAAATAAGAAATGGGAAAAAAACCTATAGGAAATCAAATCCCTTTGTTTTCATGCTACGACCCTGGAAATGGGGGTCCTATTCTGTGAAGTTCGCTTTCTATCAAACCAGGATCAAAAAGGCCCAGTGTGTTCTCGGCTGACCTTTTTCTGATGCAACTCTTTGAAGTGTTTCTCATGTTTATTTGACCCTTCCTAATACTCCACTGACTTGTCGTAGCTTTCGGCCAACTCTGCTAACTTTATACACTTGATTTCTAACAATAGTTTCCTTCTGATTTTCTTACATTTCTGGCAACTTTTAGGCACCGATATGTAAGTGATGACATGTAGTTTAATCTTTAACACTACAAAAATTCTGAAGAGGAGCTAGGTGAGAAAATGTTTTCAGAAGAGCTTTGAGAAACAGAACTCCTAGACCCCAAAAGGAAAACAGCAAGCGTGTGTCACTGCTGGAGGTGACCGCTGCCACCCTCGAGTGCCCCAAAGGACAATGTCATTAAGATAGCTGATGACCATCTTTGTGTCAGAATACCTCAACTGATTAAGACAACTGCACTTTTGCAGCTGGGCCTTGCGTGATGTTGACTGAGCTAGTGTTTTCTGGATTTGGGACTGATCTCACTTTATCTCTGCTCTATTACTCATTACCTGACTACCCTGAATGAGCTGAAACACTCTCATTTCCTCATCTAAAAAACATAGAGGTAATAGTGCCTATTTCATAGTACAATTAGGAGAATTATGAAGGGAAACACTTCAACATGCCTAACACCTAAGTCTGCAATTAGTGAATATGTTATTCATATAAAATCCCTTGTTGCCATAGAAAGGGTAAAATAGCACAGAACCCTGGTTTTGTCCCCTGAAGTCAATGCCTGTTAGTAAGAATGTAATTGAGGAGGTGAAATGAAAGCTAGTTGCAAGCCTGTGTGGAGGAAGAAGGCAAGGATGATCTGGTAGAGGAAGGAAATGGCAGCCTGGGCAGAGGAACTACAGGGGTGTAGGGAGTTGGGAGTAGGGGTGCAGGGAGTGGGGGTGGTGGACAGGGGAGGTGGAGAGCTCTTCTGTGTTAACTTCTTTTTGATTTTGTTGCAAGTTGAGAAGACCACTGTATGCAGATAGATACTGCACACAGAGAAACCTGTGCAGGTACTGGCGTGACTGGGGTGAGGGGAGCCCTACAGAATGCTGGCAGGGACAGATGACAGCAGCACAGGTCACTTTAGCTCCCTGCTTCCTACTCTATTCCCCACCCCCAGCCCAGTGCCAGAAGGTTTTAAAGGCAATTTTAATAAACTTTCAGTGAATATTCTCTTCTAAATAATTTATGGCTGAAAATATAAAGAAAGGAAAGATACTAAATTCATGATGTAGTGATGGATGAAGACCAGGTAAAGAAGGGCCCTCCCTAGTGGTACATTGGGTTAGAGCACAGCACTGTGAAGCTATCACAGACACTACTGTACCAGTTCAGTCCCTGCCAGGGAGCTGACCCACAAGGTGCGACAGACTTCTCCCGACCCGCCAGCTGCTCTCCTCAGCAGTGTATTTCAGTCAGTCCTCTTGTTATGCTCCCCATTCTGTCTCTGGTGAATCCTCTCACCCCCTGCACCTCTGGCCTGTACCCCAGTTCATGTATGCATAAATAAATCTTTAAAAAAAAACACTAGATAAAGACAGTTGAATGGAAAACAGAGCCCTCAGGCTTTGCAGAGTGTGTTCAAAAGTACTAAATCAAGTAATTGCTAACCAAATCAGATATTCTAAAAACAAATATGCCTAGCTGTGTTGTGTAGAGAATTACATGTCACAATCACTTGGGCAGGTTGGAAAATCACCTGTAAGCAGCTGCACATGTTCTTTCAATATTTATTAAATGTGCTAAGTGCAAGGAGGTGACATGCCAAAGCCTGGCTCTGCTGCTGCTCTGGACATTAACTCTCCAGGGAGCAAAGTCAGGAGCAAACGCTCCCCGGAAAGAAGCTCGCTAGGTCACCTGAAGGGTTGGGCATGCTCAGAGGGTCCTCGCCTCTGGCCACTGTAAGCAACTGAGAGGGATAAGGGAAGATACCAGAGTTCTCCTAACCTGGTTCCTGTGATCGCCCCTCTCCTTCATCCCTGTATTTTGGACAAATCCCAAATTCCTTTGGTAATTCTGTCACTCCTCAACAGACAGCCTGTCAGCAATCACACTGACCCACTGCCTGCCCAGCCTCTTGCCCATTTCCCTCTGCTGTTTTTTTTTTTTTCTTAAGATATATTTATTTATGCATACAGAAGTGGGGTACAGGCCAGAGGTACAAGGGTGGTGAGAGGATTCACCAGAGACAGAGTGGGGAGCAGAACAGGCAGATCCACGAAGAACACTGCTAGGTCTGCCTCCCAACATGGATCCCCCAACCTCTACCCCCCAAGGATCAAACTCTTACTGAAGCCTGAAGTGGCTAGGCAAGCTTTCCTTGCTGTTTTTAACTCTGTGCTACCAGGGAGGGCCACCCTCTGCTGTTTAAGAGACTTTTTCCTGAGCCCCCAAGCACAGATATGGCATGAGCTAGCAGCAAGGGCTGGAGTTGCATGTAAAACTGAAATAGGTTTAGGGCCCTCCCTGATGGCGCAGCAGGTTAAAGCACAGCACTAAGAAGCTAAAGCCACTTCCGCATGAGTTCTATTCCCGCCTGTCCCGGAGGTGACCCCATGGCGTGCAGACCTCTCCTGACCCGCCCGCTGCTCCCCTCAGCAGTGTACTTCGTCCATCTCCCTGTTCTGCTCCCCACTCTGTCTCTGGTGAATCCTCTCACCCTCCGCATCTCTGGCCTGTACCCCAGTTCTGTATGAATAAATAAATAAATCTAAAAAAAAAACTGTAATAGGTTTAGACCTAAGTTTATTGATTTTCTGCTTAAAATTTAGTCTATGCTCCTATTCACCAAGAAATAAGGGGAGTATTAAAAAAATAGATGAAATACTTAAAACTTTTCTCCTTTAGAATATGGCTAATATTTGTATCAGGCCTGTTCTCCCAGCTTGGCTGGTCGCCTCAGTATCTAGCTTTATGATGGAGGGCTTAGCACCTAGAGCTTCCACTGATCAAAGTTTGAAAAAGACTGTCCTGATCTGCTGTCAAGAAATAGGACACCATCAGACCTCCCTGGTGGCTTAGGGGTAAAGTCTAGTGCTGTCACCCCTAGGGCCTAAGCTCAACCCCTGGCCAGGGAGCTGACCCACATATGGTGCAGCAGACCCCTCATGTATTGCCCGCTGCTTCCCTCAACTGTTTATGTCAGTAGACCTACCTGCTCTGCTCCCCACTCTCCTCTGATGAATCCTCTCACTCCCTGCACCTCTGGCCTACATCCCAGCTCTTCTGTGCAAAAATAAGTAAATGAAAATCTTTCTTAAACAAAAGAAATAGGGCCCTCCCCGGTGGCGCAGTGGGTTAAAGCACAGCACTGAGAAGCTAAAGCCACTTCAGCATGAGTTCGATCCCTGCCCAGAAGGTGACCCACATGGCGCGGCCCACCTCTCCTGACCAGCCTGCTGCTCCCCTCAGCAGTGTATTTCATCCAGCTGCCTGTTCTGCTCCCCACTCTGTCTATGGTGTATCCTCTCACTGCCCCTGCACCTCTGGCCTGTACCCTACTTCTGTATGCATAAATAAATCTTAAAAAAAAAAGAAATGTAAGTAAGTTTCTAATATTTTAGTTCATTGCAATATTAATATTACTCTAACTCTACCTGAGTTATTCTGAGGCTTTTATCTTTTAGTTATGGGTTTACTGAAATAGAACCACTAAAAATAAAGCATTCATTGATTGTTAAAGTACACCAAACAATTGTATATTTTAATTATAACTAATGATAAAGCCTTTAATAAATATCCATATTAGTTAAAATTTACAACCCTAGCATCTTACAAGTTTTTATTATTTAAACATGATCATCAATTAAAACCTTCCTATAAGGAAATATAAATAAATTCCCTTTATGAAAATCATCTGAGAATTGTTCTGCTAGAACAAGCATGTTTATTATAATGTAAGACTGGTCTCCCCAGAAATATTGTGATGGGCTTTTCCCAATATATTCAAATTGGTGTATGGAACTAAGGCCAACAGGGCCTGTGGTCCTCAAAAAAAGGTAGCCCACATGGCTCAGCAGACCTCTCCCGTATCACCCGCTGCTCCCCTCAGCTGTGTATTTCAGTCCATCTGCCTGTTCTGTTCCCCACTCTGTCTCTGGTGAATCCTCTCACCATGCTTCTACACCTCCGAACTATGCTCCAGCTCTTGTATGCATAAGTAAGTAAATCTTTTAAAAAAGTAAAAGAAAAACTATTACCTTAAATTCAAAGAATGCAGATTGCCTAGCGTTAGGGACATCTCCAAAAATAACTTTTTATTGAGAAACCTACTTTAAGGCAGGTTAAATATCTAGAGACAAGGCTCCATCACATGAAGTCATCCCTCCTTGCCATGTGAATCCTCCTCCTCCCTCCTCAACACACCAGGCCCTAACCCACTCCTTAGCACAGGGCATGAACCCCAGTTTGTTTCATTTACTTTAAACAATTTATAGCCGTGTTACTATTTTCTCTACTAATCTGATGTTAATTTGTTGGTTTACACAGCCTGAGAAAAGACCAGAGGGTGGGGGAGTCTTCCCCTGTACCCTGACCCCCCACAATAACAAATTCTTTTCACATGGAACAAAGAACACACTCTTTTTGGAAAAATACCTATCACTATAAAAATGTACTAAGAAAATGTAAAAATAAATAATACCACTTCGAATCTGGAAACTTTGTACATTCACACACTGGTCAGCTTTCCCTATGATTTAATACCCACCACAGGAAAAGTTGCTGGTTATATCAAGTTGAACTCAGTGGAACTTGGCTTTCGCTGATTATATCACTAACACGGATTTGGAAGTAGTCCATTAATTTGTAAATTCAATCTGCTCACTAGCTGTTCTTTTAGTGTTTTCAGTGGCTTCCCTTCTCTAAGAGTTTATTTCTGTAACTCCTTAACCTTTGAGAAATCACTCACAGTTAAGTCAGTCAGTGGGATCCAAATAGGGTGGACCCTGGGGAAATGGCATTAAGAAATCTTGCAACGCTGATCCCAAGGTCCTTTCAATTTTTCTCTTTTCATTCCTCTTATCCAGTGTCCAGGGGCTGGACTTTCCACTGGGCTCAGAGTTATCTGCTCCTCTCTCCTCCACCAGGACTGTCCTGTTTTGGTGTTTTGTGGTCCTATGTTCTCAGTAAAATTTCATTTGTAGCCTGAATTCGTTTTCCTTTCCTGTCACACACCATCAGGGGTGCATCTCCTCTCTAATGTAGTCTGTGGTTAGCCTTTGGAAAATAGTATGTTAATAATGGTTCACCAGGCTGAACTACTGACCCCTTCTGGAAACATCTGTGCTTTATCTGTCTCCATATAATTTTTACCCCATTGGGTAAACCATCTAGATACATTTTTTATTAATCTTCAGTATTTTGCAACTATGGATAGACATGGGGTTCTAAAGTACACAAAGAAACAAATTTAAAAAGTTAAGATGTGCCTCAGGCCCTCCCTGGTGGCGCAATGGGTTAGGATGCAGCACTGCAAGCTCGCCGCAGTCGCTTCAGTGCAGAGTTCAATCCCCCGCCCCAGAGGTGACCCACATGGTGCAGCAGACCTCTCTTGACCCACCCACTGCTCCCCTCAGCAGTGTACTTCGTTGATCAGCCTGTTCTGCTCCCTGCTCTGTCTCTAGTGAATCCTCTCACCACCCCTCCACCTCTGACCTGTATACCAGTTCTGTATGCATAAATAAAATAAATCTTAAAAAACAGTTATGATGTGATTCAATAATACAGTCTAAAGACAACATATATATATATATATACATATATATTACCTGACAATTTTTCTTTTATGTATGTATTTATTTATTGCCTGCTTATCTACACATTTTCATACTTCCCTGGCCATATTTTCTCCAGTTCCAGCATTTTCTAGCTTTTACACCAATTCTACTTAAAAGCTTGGTTGATATCTGAAATGTTACCTTTGACATTTTAACAACTCTTCTCTGTTCCAATTTCCCTTCATTATAAATGACAAACATTGTCATAGCATGCAAAATAGGAAGCTTGTACATGTGACTGTATCCTTTCCCCTTTGGTTTTCACATGTATCTGATTTTAAAAATGCTTAGAAACATGTTTCATAAACATTTCCAGATGTCTCTTTTTTCCCCAGTATTATTAATTAGACCATCAACTTCCTGTGCCTCCACTTCCAACCCAGTTCATCTTATACTGAGAAAATTTCAACAGTTAGTGATTGAACACTGCAGATGCGGCAACAAAGGGTGAATTCACCAAATAAAGGGGCATATAAAAGGATCTAACACTTGAACATTTAATTACTCAGCCAACTTGTATGTGAAGGACTCACTGTGGGCCAGGCAATAATAAAACCCCTTTAGCATTAACCCCTCAGAGTTATTGCCTCATTTTGTCCTCACAATGCTCCCCTGAAGCAGAGATTATGATCCTCGTTATGGGGATTAAAAGATGAAGACATCTCAGAACTGAGGTAACACCCAGAAACTCATGCAGGTGCTAAATAACAGTCTTAGGATGCTGACCCAGGCTGCATTCATTACGCTCTCAATGTGTCAAGCTGTGGGAAAAGGCCATGATCCAATACTGCACTTTCCTGAGCAAATTCAACAGCACTTGAAAGTATTATATCACCTCTACATTATACTTACAAGGAATTTCCCTGTATCCAATCTCCAAAGCATGAAAATAATTCATGAATTCTCTAACTGGAATTTTAAAAGCTTCAAAGAGGCCCATGTCTTCAAAAAGCCTGTATGAGACCTGTAAAAGAGGAGGAGAAAAGCCTCAGCAAACACCCCTTGGTGTGTACTCAACATAAGAAGAAAAATGGGTGGAAAGCAGATATTCCTTTAATCACATTGACTCAGAGCCAGCAGAGATACTTACCGGTCATATCAATAAGCAGGTTGATATGGAAGACCAGAGTGGCCACAGGATAAATGGTCCCTGGCCACAGAGTAGAGATGTGCAGAAGAATGACCAGCCAGTAGAACAGTACATGCTCGAGAAACTTACAAGTTACTAAATTGTGTGTGTTATCAATGACTACAGAATAATCCTTCCTGAATTACTAGCTGTGTAGTACATACCTTAAGCACTAAATATGTAATAATAACGGAAAGCTCTAATTTGACTGATGGTACTGAAAAAATTTCTAGAGATAAAGAATGCAGAGTTGCACTTCAGAATTATGAGAGAGAGGAAAGGGATTAAATTTCTATTGTCATTAACTTGAAATTGATATCAATTCACTAATTCTCATTATATTTTATCATAAGCACTATGAATAATTGCACATAGATAATATTTACATTGGTTCCTCTTCCCACTTTATCTTGACAGGATGTGTTCCAGGACTGCCAGTGCAAACTTGAAGCTGTGGATATTACTGGGCCCTATATCTATGATAAACTTTAACTTATAAATTATATTAGACATAGTAAAAGATTTTTAAAATGGTAAAAGAGAACAATTATAATATATTGCAATGCAATTATGAGATGTGGGTTCTCCCTCTCTCTCAAAATCTTATTTATGCAGCTGCCATTTAAAATATGTTGGCTACCGGAAGCATGTTCTGGAAATCTTTTGAACAAAGAATGAAAGACAATTTGGAGTTACCTACATGGATATCTTGGGCAAAGAGTTTTCCAAATGGAGGCCAATGTCAGTGCAAAAGCCTTTGCTTTTCTCAACACAGAGCAAGAAGGCCAGCGTGCCTAAAACACTGAGGATAGGAAGAGAACTTAAGTAACTGCTGGGGCAGGGGGTAGGGTGTGATCTTGGATCTTGACAGCAGGAATTGGCCAGTAAAATACTTTTATGCTCAATCAAGGAGGGAGCCAATAAAGAGATTAGAGCAGGGAAGTGACTACTTGACTTATATTTTAAGGCAGTCCCGGAGCTGCTATTTGGGGACAGAGTGGAGAATATGTATACCAACTTCTATGTGCGTGTCTTCACTCTGAATTGCAGGGATATTTTAGTCACTCTTTTCTCCTCTCTTTATAGATACAATCAAAAGTGAAGTTTGTAATTCTACATTATACTTATCTAGTTCTTTCCCTAGGGATCTCTTTTTTACTATTATTTTAAACTACATTTATGTTTTTGTTTACAGACAATGCATATTACAAGAATAATCGCAGGAGCAGATATATAGACAGATCTGGCATTTAATGAGTGAGGTGTTTCGGTAGCCTGCATAAACTATTTCTTTATTATTAATCCTCAACACCTAGAAAGGAAAGGAAACTGGAACACAGAGATACTGAGTATCTTGTTCAGGATCACACAGGTGACACATTATCAGAATTTAAACAAGCTTTTTGGCTTCAGATTTTGTACTTCACGGTTTTAAGCCCTCCATTATTTGAAGAGTAATATTGTTAGGGTTGCCCAGTAACTAGTTTCCTTTATTCTGTTACAACGTGTCAAAGATAAATTGACAAATGAAGACAATGGGATATTTTCAGAGTATTGTTATAAAATAGGAACATTTTTCATGAAGAATTTTAAAAATCAACCAGCAATATTCCATATTCACGAATCAAGAAAAGACACCATTAAGCAGGTAAATATTGATAACTATGAAAAGGAAACATTATTCCAAAACCTAAGGACATCCTTTTACATTTGTTAAAATAAACATGATTATTATCAAAAAGGCAGGCAGTATATTGGGTCTGAGACGTCATTTTCATTGCATGTGTCTATTTGAAAATCTTTTGAAGTGAGACTTTTTCTGTGTAGTCTCAGCCAAAAGGTGATTTCTTGGAATGCTGGAGTTAATTCGTTTCAGCTGTCCTAGAATCTTACTAAAGCAAAAAAGAAAAAAGAAAAAAAAGAAAAGAAGAAGAAGAAGTTGTCTTTCACAGAGAAAAGTTCATGAATTTTGTTCTTAGAAATTCCAGTCAAAGGGGGAAAAAAACCATAAGGTTCTGCTTAGAAAGGCAAAGAAAGCTTTACTTCCCCAAAGTTCAATGTTTATAAATTGGCAAAGTAAACAGTGACATAATAAGGATCAGATAGTAATATGTTTTTAAAAGATGATTGCAAAAACAGATACTTCAATTTGCAGAAACCCAATTGTTCATTATCTCTAATATTTCTGAGGCCTATTCACTCTCATAGAAACATTCGACAGCAAAGATGGTCAAGCTCCCCCACCCTTCTCACAGCAGCCAAGGGCAGGCAGCTGTCCTGGGTTAGACTCTCCATGTGGAGAGCTTGAAGACACAGAAAGGGAATGATGACTCGAATGCTGACAAGTTGAATATAAATGAGTGTAAATCACTGGGGACTCCGATATGGGTAAATCTGTCTTCAAGTCCTGGGTGCAACATTTGTAATATGACTTTTTTTTTTTTATGGTGAAACCTTACAGCATGCTTTTTCCAAACCAAATATTAGAATTAGTATTTAATCTTGAACATAAATTCTACATGCATACTTCCAAATATCAAAGCTATGACGTAAGCAGCTGTGAACATTCTATCCAAACTTCTGATCTCTGAACACTAACAATGTATTGATGTAGCTATTACTAGAAATAAAACTATTTTTAAATTTGGATAGACCACTAGGTGACTTTAGATGAATAGTTTCTCTCTTCTGAAGCCTTTCTTCCTCTGTAAAACAGAGATTTAAACAAAAAAATAAGGGCACAAAGTTACTGAGAAGAGTAAATTGAAAAGTTTTGGGAGTGTCTGTGACATATCTATCACACACAACCATTTTTCTCTGCATGTACTCTCCAATACAGTGAAAGAGATATAAAAATCTTTGCCTCACCACATTTTGTTTGGGTGCTTGTGAACATTCTGGGTCCTCTCCTTCAAGGAGCAGGTGAGATGGCAAAGACATCTGCACAGACTTAAATTCCAGAACAGCTGTTCAGGAACCTGGTGCCTGTGGGTAAGTCCAGCTCCCTCCCCACTAATGACCAAAGAGCCCCCGAAAGAGCAGAGCAAGGGGTACCAGCCTTGGCATCTTCATAGCACATGCTAGCACATGCTTTAGAAGTCAGGCAAATGACTGAACCCTAGTATATGCCCTCCCTTGTGCACAGATAACATGGGTTTTTCTTCAGGACATCAAAACACCTGAACCTAGAGATGAAAAGCTGAATCCAGCTGTCAAGAATCTTCCCAACTGGCAGACACCTCCCAGTTTTTCTTTTGCCAAAGATGTAGACTACTCTGTAATGAGGCACAGACATTGAGCTAATGTGCCTGTGAGGTGGTTCCTTAGAGTAAAATCTGTCTGTTTTCAGAGTCTGATTCTTCAGTTCCATTATCTACTAAACTCTAGCCATGGAGACATTTTATTTCAGTCATTACACTCTTACAAGTGTATTTCCTTGCAAATGACTCCCTCAGAGATCAGATGGGGTTGCAGGAGGTGGGAAACAGCAGCTCTGGAGGAACCTGAGATCTGAGGCTGTGGTAGACTGGGTTAGAAAAGGCTGCCCTTGACTTTTACCAAAGTGAGGACCCAGAGGGGCCCAGATAAGGTGTGGGTGTAAGGAGACACCACTCATTGCATGAGGGAGAATAGCAGCCATGCTAGTCCTTGGTCTGACTTTATAGAATGGTCTCTTGAGCTGCCTGTGTCACAGACTGGTCTTCACCTTCACAGTACACTTCTTAGTCTGAAAACTGATCCTGTTATTCTGACACCTGTCCATCTCCCAACTGTATTGGGAATCTTGTAAGGTAGGAGCCTATTTTCCTTCTACAAGATTAGACTAGCACTTGGCTTTTGTGAACTGAACATTAGAAAAGTCTGCATTGTCTTCTCCCTTCAGACTTTCCAGATCAGGAATCCTTCACCCCTAACTTTCATGTTCAGAAGACTATTGGCAGGCCTGAAGGAAGCCAGCACAGCAATCAGCCTAACAAGTGATTTCTCTTCTAGGATGCTGTCAGGAAGTTTTGTAGCTCCAGGAAATCTGGGTTCAAAACTTTCACCATGTAAGTCTTATGTTCACGGGCTGGTCATCTTTGGTATCTCTCTGTTCTAGTTAGTGAGTGCATGAGAACTCACGTCAAACATTTTTAATATTGAGAAATATTGCATCAAGGCTTTTATTGATGAATTATACCAGGTGCTCAATAATAGAAAAAAATCTATTGTTTTTTTTTTGAGATCAAACATGTTCAACTCAACTTTCATGTTCAACTCCACTTTCTGCACATTTTCATACTCCCTCAGGGAAACAACCATTGTTGTAGTTGGAAAATCTTAAGTAAGCTAGTTAAAAAGAATAGGCACTAACAGGGTTGTTCGGTAGCTCTGCTCCACAGAGGTACATTCCATATTAAAATACAGACAACTATTGGATGTGCTTCTCCTAGCCCTGAGGGCCAACATATTTCTATTATAATTTGGACAAGGCCTAAACACTGTCTATGTAAAATTTATCTTACAGATAATTTATTAATTAGTATGCATGATCAGGCAACCTTATCTTTTTTTTTTTT